GGGGGGAGGAGAGAGAGAGAGAGAGAGAGGGAGGGAGGAGGGAGGGAGGGCAGGAGGAAACGAAATAAAAGTATAGGAATTTCCCGAGAATATGTGCAAAGAAGTACCAAATTTGAATGGTGAACCTTGCAGAGAACTTTCATTTCTGCCATAAACTCTTTTGTTTTTGTAGCTGTCATCCTTTTTATTGCAACCTCCTGAATAAAATATGGCCAAATTCAGAGAAATCATTGGCACACTCAGTGCCCAAACAATATGTTTGCTTTTACCATATGTGTGTGGGTGTGCACATGAACCCCCATTCGTAACAGGTGTCTTGAGATTTTTCCACTAAATACCCTTTTCCACTACATACCCTAAGTTTTTTCCAAATATTGAAAAATTATCATAAAAATGTTAAACATCTCACCATTCCCAAGTACACATTCAAAATAAATAAATATTAAACATTTCGTGTCATTCTCTCTAAAATCTCTCTCTCTCTCTCTCTCTCTCACACACACACACACACACACACACACACTCACTCACTCACACACACACACACACACTCACTCACTCACTCACTCACTCACACACACACTCACTCACTCACTCACTCACACACACTCACTCACTCACTCACTCACTCACACACACTCACTCACTCACTCACTCACACATACACATACATATGTTAGGTACTAGTATAAGTACTGGGTATACAACCACCATACCTGATCCCGGAGTACACCATAATACACAGAACCATATGTTCCGTGACCAAGCAGATTTGAGTCAGCAAAGCCTTCTGTTGAAGTAAGAATTTCCTCATACGTAAATACAACAGGCTTTTCCATGTCAAATACATCATTCATCATATCTGCACGGAGCATGGAGGTTATGACATTCAAAGCCGAGACATTTCCCAACATATAATTATCTTAAATTTAGCACTTTAAAGAAAATTTAATTGCTGGAGAATACCAAACCATGTTGATACAACAGATCCATACAAACAAAAGAGGCTATAACTCTCATAGACTTGAGTAATTTTGACCTACATCCATTAGAAGAATATTACTCACTTGAGGCATGCCTTTATTTAAGTGGTGTGCATTTGTGGAGAGGCTGGAGTTTGTGAATATTACTACTTGCAGTATTTGAAAAGCTGAAGTGTTTAAGAATTTAATATAAACAAAATTCTATCAAGAGACTAGAATGATCCTACTGTAATTTGTAAAGAGAATCAAGTGACTCAAGTAAGCAGGGTCCTCCAGAAACTTCATTTCTTCCACATTGCATACTAGTAATGCTTTCAGGTTTCAGGTTATGATCAATGCTTCATTATTTTCACACGTTACGTCAATTTCGTATAGATGTTTTTGAAGGAAAATCATGCCAATTTCATAAAGTTCCCCTCAAATATGGCATATTTGCCAAGAAATCCTTCTCCCTATCTCCACTAAGTGTTGTACACAGTGAACAAGAAGTGAGCATGCTAAAATTCTAAATTTTATATCATCACAGAAACGACATAGATCCACAAAGTTCAGAGACGGAAATTTCTTCCCCAACATAGTCCCATTTACCAAACTATTCCAAATTTAGAAAATTGACAAGTAAGGGCTACCCTATATTTTACTAAAGGTTCCCACATCTTTTCACTTCACAACCTTGCGCTGATACCAATAGAAAACCATGCCCAAATAGCTCGTTTTAAATCCAATGGCCAAATAATGACACATTCTTGATTTGATAAATTTCTACAAAATACTTTCTACAAAAAGCATGATATGAGGCCAACTATCAGATTAAGACTGCTCAACTTTTCACGAGTATCATCATCGTCAAAGCCTTTTCCCAACTAATTGGGGTCGGCTACACGAATCCTGATCTGCCATTCTGCTCTATTAAGGACCACACCCTCAGTGAGGCCATAAGTCCCCATATTTTTTCTCAATACTTTCAGCCATATTTCTTTGAACCTACCCCTTGCCCTTTTTGAGCCTTCCACTTAAACTAACTTACACCTCTTAAAAGATGTTGTACTAGGTATGCCCCACACAAGGTTAGTCCACCTAAATCTACTTTCTCTCATCTTTTCACGTATTAGTTAGTGCCACACCTAAATTCTCTCGAATGTATTAATTTTGAATTATATCCCTTCTTGTCTTGTCACTTATCTATCTCAACATCCTCATCTCCGCTACACTCATTCTATGGGTATGTTGTTTCTTGACCGCCTAACATTCTGCCCTGTAAAGTAAAATTGGTCTCACAACTGTCCTATAACTTGCCGTTCCGCTTCATTGGTACGCAGAGATCACATAACGGCGACATGAAATCATTCCCCCCATATATATATATATATATATATATATATATATATAGTAGTA